TGAATATAATGTTAGATTATAAAAAATTAAGTATTTTTTATTCTATTAATTTTATTAATTTGACGGTCGCGTTCAGCAAGATATTTACTTGAAGCCCAGTGAAGATTAACAGTAGACCTCCGAAAACGTTCCGAGCAGAGCCGAGGATGGTGTTCGCGCCGTCCAAGTTTTTTTTCAATCTGAACATTCTTCTGCCAAGAATGATGCATCCGATCAGGCCTGAGAGTCCTCCGATGATGTGAATCACTGCTGCACCAGCTTGATCCTTGAAGACTACCATCTTTCCACCTAATTCGTTCTCCGCCATCCATCCTATCCATGCCCAATGGATGAGCAATGGTTGGATCAGACCTGACAAGAGGATGCTCACCAGCAAGTATCCTGCTATATGCATCCGGCCTGCGACGGCGGTGGTGCAAATCGCCGATGCGATTGCCACTGCCTGCCATCCCACGATCGCTTCGTTCTTGTCAATCGTTGGATCACCGATCCAATGACCCGCGCCGATCAGACCAATGATATCACCGTTATAAGCAACGAGAAAACCCGTTAGGAAATACATAACGGTAACGCAACACAGATCAACTGCATTTTGAAGAAGTATCAAATTAACGTTAATCGGCACACTGCCAATCTGAACGAGAACAAAGCCGATGCGCAGCAGAATTGTCAGGACGAGACGAATTAGCGAATTCCAATGGAGATGTGTGGTAGAGACAGTATAGTTGCCGAATGTGTGAGGCTGAATGGCATAATCATAATAATTCTCGGCGTAAAAATAGTCTTTAGTAACAGACGACATTCTCTCTTCTCTTGAAATTGGGTGTCTCTTCTATATGTTATCACGTTATCACGTTATCATATCGTTGTTTGTCGTAGTCGAGATATGCTTCAAAATTTGATACATTTTTGCGTGCGGAGGTGACGTTTCTGTTGGGGTTGGAATGATTGACAGGAGATTGAAATTGCACCTAAATGAAAATGAATGAAATAGCGTGCATAGTTGAATTGTCTGTTGTTTTATTGAAAAGTATTGTATTAAAGTGATTTTACAGACTTCTATACAGAAGTATATAAGGTGCGTTCGGGAAGATACTTTGTCATTCTATTTTCATCATTTATTAAACGTAAAACAAAGATGAAATAACATAAACAGCGATAATAACATCTCCCCGAACGCACTTAATATAATAATTTTCTATGGCTGTGTTCCAAAATTGACTGCCAGTACTGAAAATCTATAGTGCACGTGACGTGAATTGTAGATTTCTAGCTCTGACAGTAAATTTGGAATGGAACGCAATCTATATATAGAAGTCTGTAGATGATACCAAAGCTGCGTTCAGGAATATATACACCAAATGCTTTCAAGTATCATTATATTATGCTCGTTATTCATCGAAGATTGAACAAAGATAAATTGATATCTGAAGATACTCGATATGTATTCCTGAAAGCAATTTAAATTATAGATCATTAAGAAAAAAGTGTAAAATTATTTAATACTTGTTTGTGCGGAATAGTCGCGGAGAAACATACTTCCGTTCATTGATTTGAAACTGCAAAGTGCAAATCAAACATGAAAATAAAAATCGGATAAGAATGCCTCGCGAAAGTAGATTTGTATTCATCGAAGTATCTTAAGACAAAAAAAATAAAATAAAAAATATCTAAATCAGGGTAAGTTAATATTTTTTTTAAACTAAATTAAGTTAAAGTTAATGGCTTATAAAATTAATAAAATTAAGTTAAAAGTTGAAAGAATAAAGAACTTAGTAAAAGTTAAGTTAAGATTGAATTAACTTAAGTTTAAAAAAAGTTAATTTAAAAAAAATTATTTTTGAGATTAGAATGTCCTAATTTTTCTTATAATGAGATTAAAATAATCTTTAAAGTAATCACTTACAAATATAGATTATTAGGTAAATTTAATTTTATATTCACATGTAAGTTACTTATATATAATAAGAGACGCTATAAAGCGTTTTCGTAGAATCTTGCAAAAGAGAAGGGTATATGTTTGCATTATTTCTCTTTCTTTAACTTTTATCTAACTTTCTTTAACTTCTAAAACGACTGCTCATGCATGTTTACGACTAGATATTTGTTACAAAGATAAACGTAAAATATGCAGTACTGTTCTACAACAATTCTTGATCTAAGGTTCATTTCATGTTGCTAAAATATAACATTTATGACCTAAAATTAGTGTGATTCAAATATAAACAAGAATTGATAAAATGAATGACAAAACCTAGCGAATCAAAACTGACTACCGTGTGCGACTCTTATTATAGAGTCTCTCATCATAAAATCATTTTTCTAAATTAATTCTCTAATGTTTAAGATTTTATAGAAAAAAAATATTAGCATTAAGAGAGGTAGAACAGTTATTAATTTAAAAAAAGTTAATAAATTAAAGTTTAAAAGTAATTAAATGAAGTTAAAAATTAATGCATTTAAAATTAACTAAGTTAAGTTAAAAATTATTAACTTTTTAACTGTTTTCTTTTAATTATTAACGTTTTAACTAGTTACTACCCTGACTTAAACTTTGATTAAACTAACATAAAGAAATTTGTTTCGAAACTAATGTTAGAATCAACCTATAACAATAATCCATTGCATAACATTTTTTTATTTTCTGATCGAAACTGTAAATATTGGATATTGTTTTTAAAAGTTTTCCATTTTATTAAAATAAAAAAAAAATTATAGAATTTCCAACCGACGTGTCGCGTCAGTTGGAAATTTTTTATTTTAAGAAAATGAAAACTCTCAAAAACAATATTCAATATTTAAAATTTCGACTAGAAAACGAAAAAACAACATTACTGCAGTGTTCTGCAATTTATATGAATCATTCTCTCAATGTCGGGAACTCGCACATATATGCATATACGGTATGACAACGGAGCACGTTAATTCCGAGAACAGCGTTTCCACGTGCGACGATGTCTCCGCGGTCCATATTTAGGAAATAGAAACGAATCAACCGAATAGTGATTCCAAATGTACCGCTAATAGGAGCGTCAACGCTGTTCGACTCAGTTCGACCAATACGCGTCGAGCGCGCATGCACGTCGTCGACGCGCATGTCACGTCGTTGGCCGCCGCAAGGTCGGGGTCTCGGGATCCGCGCGCGCGATATCGTCTGCCCCTGCCGCGGCCGCGGATGGTAGTGTCGAGTGCGGTAGTCGCTCGTAGCCGGTTGTCGGTTCGTTCAAACCGCGTGACGCGGGTGGCAGGCGGGAGTTTGTTGTCCCAGTCGACTCGTGCGTGAGGGAAGAGTGAACAGCAAGTGATCCGCGCGTCGGAACGTCGGACGGTGCGCCCGGCTCTTTGACAGCGGCGTCGAAATGGCAGCGGTATCGTTTCGGGCGATATTCGTCGTGAGGTGGTGCGAGATGAGCCGCGTGCTGACTGCCACGTCTTACCTGACCACAACGAGGCGGTACCGAAAGGTGAGAAAATGCACGTTGACAACGCAGACAACATAAAACGAGCGAATCACACTTGGGCTACGTTCAAATTCCTACATTTTTTTATCTGAGTGCCACCCAGGTATCATTTTATATCCTTGTGTTTATTGATATTAAATAAAGATAAATAATGTCTGGAAAGCAGGATGGGAATCTGAAACGTACTCTTGCGTGTCGCGCGATCTGCGGTGGCCTTTCGGTCATTCCGCTCGATGGAAATCTCTTTCCTCTCCCTGTTTTCTCTCGGAGTAGTCGGGAATATTTATTCGGAGCATATGTGGAACTATACAAGGGATCGTGTGACAGGGATCGGCGATATACATTGGTTATCTCAAAGCCGGCGGACATTGGTTTATTTTGAATACATACGCGTGCGGATTAAATCGAATTAATTGATATTACGGAGCTCAGGTGTTCACTCCTCATGGCCCCTATCCTATTCGCAATCGCGATAGCTGCGTTAATGTTACATGAGGTTCCCGAGATCCTACTTCTCCCACTCTCATCCATGCGAAGCGTACCCTGGCTCCGGTACGAGTCCCACCTTCGAGTCGTTTGCGTGTACAATGTACATTCAATAGCGTTAGCGGGTCTTTATCACACACGCGCTTTCTGAAAGCACGCGATACCTTTGGTATACCGCGCTTCTCTATCTGAACACAAGTACTCAACAATTGCAGGAAAGCCTATAATGTTAATAAAACCGGTAACAAGAGACGGACAAGAGATACCGGATTTGAACGAAGGAATTAATCGTTTGTGATTATTCTTCATCCGTTTTTAATTCTTAGAATTACAAAAAAAAAAGATGAAGAGATAAACCAAGATTAAAATTAAATTGATAGAAACGGATATAAAGTATTCTGGGAAAAATTGTATTTTCTTTTATGTTCTATTTATTTTTCTTTCGGAAATTTTTTGCTGCTCGCAGATTAAATGAATATCAGATTATATTTTAGTTAAATGATGTAAAGTATAATTATAATTCCGATACGCGATATCGAATGTATGTGTTATTCGACTCCGCTATATTGTGAGAAAAATGTACTAAATTTTAATAAATATAATATTTGTTCGAATAATAGTAGCTAAATATTTACTAAATGTATTCATTTGGTACATGAATTATTAATTCGATATAACTTTCATTATTTTTATTTAGTAAAAATTTATTTACCGTAAGTAAATGTTAAATTAATACTGATCAGAGAAATATTTAGTAACATTTAGAATATTTTTTAGTATGATGACTTTATATTATAATGTAATTTGTCGCGTAGGATGAGAATTAATAATTTCGAGAATAATATAAAGCGAGAGACACATTTGTTATTTAATTATTTATTATCGTGGACATGCATATGATCGCTTTAAATTATTTGGTAATTATAAAATGATAAACATACATGTTCTTAGCAAAATTAACGCGAAACATTTGTAATATATGTTATTAAAAAAAATTAGAAATTATTTCTAATTTTAACGTATATCTACTGTTAAGAAATCTAATATCTATAATAGATTAAAAAAAAACAACATAATATATTCTTCTTCTCGTTTCTTTTTAAAAGAATTATTATTTAAGAAATTTGCATTAATTTCGCTATGTTTGTGCGTATTAATTATGAATGTAGGAACAAAAGTAAACTGATAGTTTATTTTTTCTTATTGAGAAAAATTAGAACAAAAAGCTGCAAAAGCTGCAAAGCTGTTTCTAAGTATTTACATCGATAATATTATAAATATTAAATAGTCAAATTATTTTGTGCCATGTATTTGCTTAAAATTAATTAACTAGTACGTTTAGTACCTACAAGAACTATATCAGTAACTTTCGCAAAAAAATTTCATATTAAAATGTTATCATTCTTCTGATTACTGCACACAAATGCGGTTATAAGATAAAAAGCAAATCATACACATCCTGATGCGTATGCGTCCACCGTATGCGCACTGTGCGATCACATCTGCAGTATGACAGCATTAATTACCATAACGCTTAGTAATTAAAGAAATTATAAAATTATAACGGAAATTATATAATTATAGAATAAAATGAGAAAAAATATTGCTGCAATTTCTAGTTCTCATTATTTTAATTCCGATATAGAAATATACTTCAATTATATGTGATTCTTAATTTAACATTAATATTGTTTTTATATATTTTGTTTATAGGAATTATAAGATAATAAAACTGCATTTACACAAATATGATAAATTAAAACGGTAATAATATATTTACTTATAATATAGTTACTTATGAAACTAATGATTAAGATGAAATGATTAAAATGAATATGAGAAATAATTAGAGAAGTAGAATAATAATATGAATATTATATTATTATAAATATTGTCATTGCTTTATATTAAATTTTAATATAGATGTCAACTTCATATTAATATACAATCCAGCCTTTTAAATCAGCATCTATATAGTCATTTATATTTAGCACGCCATCAATCGATTTTTAACATTTTTTATAGCTTAAAATAAACCGCCTTCGCAAACTATCATCGAGCAAAATGCAAAAAATATGACGTTTAAAGTAAATAAACAGCTGCATGATTTAGACAGAAAGAATAATTTTATTAAAGTATTTAAAAATTTAGGTATAGATCTGAAAGTAATTTTGTTGACCTATCAAAATAATTATGAAAGAAATTCAAGCATGAGGAGTAATGATGCAAAAAGTTTTAACATTCTAATAAGCAGTTTCGAACGTTTTATATAATTTTTTGCTGATTCCAATAAAATAATTTTAGATCTAGCTAAATTTTTAGATACTTCATCAAAACTTTCTGTAATGATATAAAATTTTTATAGATTCAACGAGATTCAGGATGAATTATTAAATAGAAACGGATTGAACGGATTGTTATTATCAAACATATTTTAGAATATCATATTTGTTTTCCTAAAGAATTGTGTAATCCAGTAATTTTTTTCGATTCTCCTTTCAGTGCTGATGTATAACGGGAATTCAATTTCTGCTCTTGGACTTTGATAGGAACATCCAATTAATAGGATGCTCGTGGTGAGCAATATATATCCTTGTTCTCGATGTAGATATTGCAATTTCGATAACCGAACCGATTTTCGATAAATTTCCCGGGCATATGCGTCTTCGGTACAAAAGCGAACCGTTTGTGCCCAAGTTGCGTTAAACGATCCCGAGTTCATCGTCGCCATGGGAAGAGAAACATTTTCCACGTGAAAAATACAGGTACCACCTATGCTCATAAATCAAATAGCGTCGCGCTTTAGCACCGACTATTGTGCTAATATTTCACTCGGCTCTTAGCAATGCTTCGCTGCTCGACCATTTCCTACGTATCTTGTACGTACAGATTAAAGTTCAGGGAGAAGCTCGAATACTTCGGTTAAAACGGATAAGAAGAAAAGGATGGAAAAATATAGATCAACATAGTGTGCTTAAAGTAGACGTGATCATGATACATACTGAAAAAAATTTTTGATATTTGTAACATGATATAATAATTATTATAATAGTAGTGTAATAATCATACATGTTATGTACTTGGAAAAACATTTTGCTTGAAATCTAAAAATTAATATAACTACAGATATATACCTCAGAATAATTTGCCATCAAAATAATTATGTAAAAAATAATTATGAAACAAACTAATGAGCAATATACTACAGAAATGTTTGATATTCTAAGCATTCAGTTTGAATCCTACGTAATTATTTTGATAATTCAACAAAATTTTATTTGTATATATACATATATAGAGCTAAATTTTTAAATACTTCAACATCACAATCATTTGTTCGTGTAATAATAATTATATTTATAATTCTATGAAAAAAATATAATTTAGTATTGAAACTTACTATAAATATAATTATTATTACTAACATTACAACAATAATAATCATAATTATAATACTAAAATAGGTCAAATACTGATAACTTTTTTCATCGTCAGTGCCTTTAATTTTTGTAACAATTAGTATCACTAATGTTTTTCGAGAGATCCGTTTTATTGCTTATAAATAGTAAATGTACACTATTATTAGCGACAATATTTTTGTATATTCTAATCCAAAATTTTTTTTTAACCACTGATTTTAACATTTTTAACGAGGAAAGTTTTTTAATATTCGTGTTTATAATTACAGTAAAATAATTTAAGCAAAGCTCCATTTTGAAAGTTATTACTGCTATTAATGTTAATAATTATAATTATATTTATATTTCTCTACCAAAAAGATATACAGTTGGTACCAAAAATGAAGTTATAAATTGTTAAATTTTTTTTCTAATAATTGTAACCATTTTTTAATATATAGAAATAAACTCGTAGCGTATAATGTTCGCATAAAATTTATGCGGAATTTAAAAAGTAAAGCGATGTGAAAATTAAATTAAAAATTTATGCAGAATAAAATAATGGAGAAAGATGGAACATATACACGTATGAGTAACATAGGTAGTTTGTTTTTCATTTAAAAGTTGACATAGTCAAAATTAAAATAAAATAAAAAGTGATACGTAATTAATGTATACTGAAAAATGTGTAGAACTTTAAATATGTCATATTTCTGCGTAAACTAAATATGCTGTTGCTCGCATTATCTAACTCGAGTTTGTTCGTGTTAGCACAATCTAGCTATGATCCAAATTTCTACAAATTACGCTAACTTTAAGGAATTTTAGGATCGCCGAGATACTTCATATACACAGGTACTTCATATGCGCTTACTACATACGTCAATAACGTTCTTTTTTCATATCTCTTAGGTATAAAGATAAATGTCAAGTGAGATAAATCTAGTCGCAGGCTGCCACGAGCTTCTCGGCATTTATAAATATTCAGTGTTCCTCAGATCGTCACACCGAAAATATACCGTATTCCTGAGACTTATTTTGACCTCGAAAACATTCCATGAATTGCTCTTTGTCGTTGATTTTATTCTTAGGATAGCAAAATCTTAGGATAGCAAAATA